GACCTGCAGGCTCTGGCAGGTGGGAACAGCGATTTGAGCCTGATAAAGTCCCACACTGCCATCCTTTCAGGCAGGACAGGCCATGCTCAGGGCACATCACAGGACTCAAGCTCCTGCAAGGTCACAGAGTTATCTCTGGAGCTGGAGCAGCCTTGTGCTGCAACCAGCATCCTGGGAAGACGCAAACTGCAGAGCATCTTGTGCCCTGCCTTGCAGGGTCGGGGCTCATTGCTGCCCTCAGAAATGTGAGTCGAAGGGGAAGAATCACAGGTGTGTGAGGATAAGTCTGTGTAAATATCCTTAGTTATAGATCTTTGTGTATCCTCGTTCAGCAGTAAGAATGTTGGCAGTAGCAATACCAGGCATACCAGAAATCATACCTCAAAAATATACAATAACTTTAAAAACCCCTTTATGAAATTTATCTGTTCTCTTTGTCTGTCTTCTGGTGACTGATCTCAGTAACAGTGAAGGTCATGCCTTCAGGCTTTCATCCCACGGTACACTTGCCAGAAGGGCAGATATCTCTGTGGGAGATACCACGCGAGCCCAGGAGCAGGGACTGCAGGAGGGAGGACTAAGCAGCACAGAAATAGAGGTGACTGTCACCCCTGCTAATAGAGAGGCAGGCCATGAGGCTGCACCAATGCACTTCCAGAAGTGATGTGGATTGTTGGGAAAAGTCGTTTTAGTGGATGGTGGACATGTAAAATACCTGTACAGGCTGATGACACTCGTACAGCCCTCAGTGAAATGCAGTTGTCTACATTTGCTATAAATTCATAATGAGTGCTTCTGGGCTTGGATTTAGACTGACAAGAAAAGCAAAGGCATCTTAAGTTTAGAGGAGATTTGATATGTAGTTATGAGAGTCATTGTTCTGGTACCAGGGGAGTGGCTCTTAAACAGCATTTTGGAAAGAGGCCAGGGTCTACACGAGAGCACATGGTGCTTGGGTTGGCAAAGCCAAATCCCACTCCACGCAGCATCCTTCAGCCATCCTCCCTGTGCAACAGCTCAAGACCTTAAAAGGCTGCTGCCACCAAGACCAATAGCTGGACAGGGAGTTTGTCTGCATTATTTGGGGAATTCAAACCTGTCTTTTTAATTATTCCAGCAATACTTCATCTTCCTCTCCAACGGTTAGCAAAAAGGATCACCAGTTCAGTCGAACTTACATAATGTGGCTGTGAATATCCTATGACTTATTGCCCTGATCTTTTCACAGGGTTAAGAGCTTAGGGGAGAAGAATTGCTTGGCTGGGCAAGATGTATTTCTTTTTGCAAAGGACAGATGATGTTTTTCCAGCCCTGGAACTATTCTTGTGAAAGGTATTTTTTCTCTACAGAGTCTTCTATTACTATTATGGGCTTATGTTCACAGGCTTGCACTCTCATTAAGGGGCACAGATTTAAATAAGGGGTTTTAATCAACAATTTTCATCATGATTTAAATCAGCTAGCAGGAAACACAAAATTGATTATTTAAATTAATCTTGTTCTTCATTTGTGGTTTTTAATTATTTTCCTAAGGAACAACTGATACATCCTCACTGGAGCCTGGTACTCTTTTTTCACTTGTGATCAGGATATGCTATTACCATATTTATTTAAGAATCTGCATATTAAGTCTAAAGTTACTTAACAGTTTTCATTTAAGTGCCAAACTGATGACTGACGCCTCTACTCCATGCTTATTTTAATGTTTGTGTTAAGGTGCACTGCAGAAAAAAGTAAAATGCATTAGTTACTGTGCTCTAATTTAAATCACATGCTAATCTTAAATATGACAGACAGATGGGGCAAGGGGAAGAACACAGTTATCAAAACTGATTCTGTATTTGAAATGGACATTTTAAACACAGGAAATATTACCTCTTTGACAACACGCTGGAGTGTTTCTAATAATCAAACCTTTATAAAGACTCATGTGGGGGAAAGTGCAATCTCCTCTTCCCTCTTTGTTTTCAATCCCTGATGGTTTTCTCAAATTGGAGTGAACTGAAGGAAACAACATCTTTCTGTGTGTCCTGAGAAGAAATGGGTCTGTAGGAAACGGGCTTAGAGTCTCAAGAATCCTCTGATCTGGTTGAAGCAAATACTTCAGCCACTGTAGTGGCTTGACCTAATCTAAAATTTGTAGGGGTTAACTGCTATTTCTTTTAGTATTACAATGAAATTTAGGCCATAATGTTTAGTGCCACTGGTTCAGGTTTTAAATTAAAATTATCAAATTTTAAATGTATAATGATAAATTTGAAAAAAATAATCCTATGCTCTGATTTTTCTGGAAAAAAGGACATTTTGAATTTTTATCTGCCTTTCATTTGCATCAACTCTACCTCAGGGCAGCTGCAATGACTCGAGGAGTCGTATTTCTTATTCACACCATTGTGTGTAAGAAGGTAAAAGCCAAATGAACCCTTTTTGAAAAGCTTTAGGGTAGATCTGTGCAAATACACATCTCTTTTTCAGATTGAAGGGATCAGATAGTCAAATTCATCCTTCAGGTAATTCGGCTGACTTCAGTGGAGAAACGAATGTCTCAGTTAGAGACCTGGTTTCTTGTTGGCTTCAGCCACGAAGATAGAGAGTCCAGGACTCTCTGGGAATACACAGGATGGGATTTTCCTATGCTGATGGATGCATCAGCCTCCCTTCAGTGTGAGTCTCAGCATGTTCCTCTTACTGAACCTCTGTGCCACCCATTCTCCCAGCACCTCATGGGATATAGAGGGATTATTGCTTCCTCCCACCCTGCCTCGTCACTCCTGGGATGGTGCAGTGCCTCTCTCCTGGTGCTGTAGTTTGGCAGCCATCAGCCCATTTTGCCAATTAATTCCTTGAGACAGTTTCCTCCAAATCACACTTAAGACTAAAGACAATATAGCAAAGGCTTGATTTCTTTTTGTTCCCCTGCCAGAAGCTGTATGTACCATGCCAAGATGTGACATGCAACACCTTGCATTACAGGCACACATCACTCATGCCGACTCAGAGCAGGGAAACCCTCACTGCCTTGTCCCACATTATTTCTGCCCTGATGCACCAGGGAAAGGCTTCAGCTTTGTGGTGAGGTTTAAAACCAAGTTGTTGGGTATTTTCCCTTCTAGTTTCAGCTTGGCATGGGGTTTTCTGGGGAAGGGTTGGATTGTTTGGGGTTTTTACCAGAAGCCTAAATGTTCTTCAGTAGCCACTGATTCCAAATTATGCTTCTGGATGCAAAACCCGCTGCAAAGGAATTGAAACCAGGAACAACAGAGTGACTTCAACAATGCCACCCACTCAGGGTGCACCCAGCCAGCCTGTCCCTGAACTTCACATCTAGGAGGTCAAAATGATGGTCCAGGGTTTTTGAATAGCTTTATGCTATATTTTGGGCTGTCCCAATGTCCCTCCCAGAAAGCAGAGTAGCCCTTGTTGTGCTGGTGCTGCCCCAGCAGTGCCGTGGGCAGGTGCTGAGGTTGGAGCAGGAGCTTCACCATCCCAGCACACACTGACACACCATGTGCTGTCAAGAACCAGGGGAGCTCCTTTCATCTCACAGCATCGTGTAGAGCAGTGATGGAGTGGGACATAAAAACAGTAGAAGCAAACACTACGGGTAATGGAAGAACACATTTCTGATGGAGTTTTTGTAGCTGTTGTTGTTAACATAGGGTTTTTCACTTATGCAAAAACCTATTTAGGCCTTGGGAGCCTTAGTGCCATGAAAGCCTCAGCCTCTGCACCTCCCTCTGCCTGGCCCAGCACATCTACCCCACACAGCTCCAATGCACCTTTATCTTCAGGCTGTTCCTGTCGAATCCTCTCTGCTCCTGCCATACAGAGCGCATGTTAATGAAAACGGGCATCAAAGAAGCTAGAAATGATGTGCAATTCAACCTCATGAAGTATGAAATCACTCCTCTCCCATGCAGGGCTCTATCAATCAAGTTGGCTTTGGGTCTTTTCTTCCCAGAGAGCTTCTGCTACAGGTGCCTCCGAAAAGCACTTTCCTGTCCGTGCTCCTTGTTTCCTGACAGAGATGGTTGATGGTCATCCAGGAGCACACACCATCATCTCCCTACTGATTCAGCACGTGTAAGGATGGATCCATACCTTTATTAAAGTCAATCTTAATCTTTCCTAAGGAACATTTCATAAAAATGTAGGCTTAGAGCAGCTTTCAGAGGCAGCTACAAATTGCCAGCAGTAATACACCAAAATTAGATGGGATAGATGGGGGCTGTCTGTTGTCGTCCCCTGATTGCTTCCTTCCATCATTTGCCTTAACTGGATTTGTTCCTTAGCACCTGGCCATTGTCTGGGGAGAGCTTACAGGTAACAAAAGATGATGGCACAGTTGGTTTTGTATTAAAAAAAAAAAAGTAATAACTGAGGTCCAAATGCAAAAGGAAAGTGGGTGGGTGGATGGTTGCAGAGCTGGGATGTAGATGAATGGATGTGGATAGGAGTATGGATTGGTACATGGGCAGGTAGATGCATTGCTGGAGGGGTACATGAATTGGGTGGTTTGATATATGGGTGTTAGAGTGCAAGGATGGGTGCATCCACGGGTGCATTGGTTGGTACATGAGCGGGGGGGTGCGCAGGTGCATGGGCTGATGCAGGAATAAGTGGGCGATGTATGGGTGCATGCACGCACGGATGTAGGGGTGCATTGGCTGGTGCAGGCACGGCCGTGTGGGTGCGCAGGTGCCTCGGCTGCTGCGGACACGGGTGGCAGCCCGGTGCGAAGCGAAGGCCGTGCGGTCGGACGGACAAAGCCCCGGGACAGATGCCAGGGCAGGTGCGCAGCTGCCTCTGGCCGGCACAGCCCGGCCCCGGCGCTCCGGGCGGCAGGCGCGGGCGGGGCGGGGCTGCGGGCCCGGCGCGGGGGCGGCGCTGCGCCCGCCCCGGCTCGGCTCAGCTCGGCTCGGCTCGCCCCGGCTCGGCTCGGCTCGAGGGGCGAGCGGTGGCACCTGCGGCCGCGCCGTGCGGAGCCGAGCGGAGCGGAGCGAGCGGAGCCGCGGCCCGGATGTAGCCGGAACATGGCGCTGGGGGCGGCGTGACGGCGGCGGCCGAGGTAGGGGCGGCGGGGCCGGGGGCGCGGGCGGCGGCTGCCCCTGCCCGGGCGGACGCTCGACCTTGCGGGGCCGCGGCGCTGGCCGGAGCTGGCCGGCCGGGCTGTCCGCGTGTCCTGGCAGCGGCCGGTGCCCGCAGACAAAGGCACGGCCCGGGCATCCCTGTCCGCACCTGTGCGGAGCGGGCAGAGCCGCGGGCGCTGCCAGGGGCGACTGGCGCGGGGCAGGCGGGAGCTCCCGGGTTCCTCTCCTGAGGGTCGCAGTAGGTGATTTTGCTTTTGATATCTTGCCGGGGTTTCCTACAACAATGGCTTTTCTTTTCTTTTTTCTTAAGCCAGTTTGCTTTTTGTCATATCCCCCTCCCTCCAAGAAGTTGCTCCCAACTTTCCCTGAATATGATGTGGTTTTGGGTTCCCCCCAGGAAGCAGGTGCCCAGAGAGCCGTACAGCCGCTCCTGGAAATGCTCCTACATGCGCCTCTATACCTCTGCTCCCTCTTTTTTTTTTTTTTTTTTTTTTTTTTTTTTCTCATATAAAGGGTTAGAAATGCCTGCAATCGACTCCGCTCTTCTTTCAGTGTCCATGAGCCTCGGATCATCTCAGCTAAAGAAAATGAGCTGCATAGTGACTGCCGTGCTTGAATAACGCTCCAGCCTCAGGCCAAGAGGTGTTTTTTTCATGGTATCGATCAGACCTTGAGAATTTTTCACCAACCCGCTAGCAGCACGCAGGCTGCCTTTCTTCCTCTTTGTTACATACCAGCCCTCTGTTAACATAAAGAAACAATGGAAATTTTTTTCCCCCAAAATATTCAGTGCTAGGTCTAATGGGCTGTGATTGTCAGTAAGGATAAAATTCCCACCAACTTGAGAGGGGCCAGCAGTGACACTCCTCTGCTAGTAGCCTTTCCCTTTCATTTTATAATTTCTTTATATGCTCTAGCATTTGCAAAAATGAAGAAAATTAGTTGATACCTATGTTGAGTATTGAAATAGATCTTGGTGGTCCTTGCTACCAGACAGCACTTAAGGAATCATTGCTTCAGATTTACTGCCTTTATTGTACCATGAAACTTCCAGTACTGCTGCTCAGGGCTGCAGCAGGGAGCCGTGCTCCCCTGGCCGCTGTGACAGCCGGTGTTGGTGGCTGTGAGCATCGCTGCTGCTGCTGGGGACAGACCTCTTGTCATGTGGAGGTGTCGGGGGATGGCTCTGCTGTCCGCTGAGGAGGATGTTTCAGAGGTGGTGAGTGGATGTAGTGCTGCTTCTGGGGCTCCCCGGCCATCTGCCCCCCCCAAAGGAGCGACACTGGGAAGCTGTAGAAGCTCCTCTATTTCAGTTTGAGGTTCACAAAATGGCCCTTTTTTCTCTGCCCATACATTGCTGTTTCTGCTACGTGGGGGTTACAGATGTGTTGATTGCTCCATGGTGAGCAGCTGCTCTCGTGGTTTTCAGGTGGGAATGAAGGACCTGGCTGCGTGGGGCAGGGCACTGGTTTCGGAGTGGCTGCTGTGCCAGGTAAAGCTTTGGAAATTACTTGTTGTGGTTTGCCTTATTGCCTGTTTCTGTGGCTCAGTCACATTTTTTTGGCTATAGGTTGTTTTAGGTCGATGAAAGGTCTTTGTTCAGTGTGGAATTGTGTATTTATGCTATCAAAATTAACTGGAGGTAAATTGACTAAAAGCATTGTTATAATCAAGGGGGAAAGACTCACTCTCATGTTGAGCATGCTAAAGCTAAACTTTTTTCTTTCTCCTGTTCCAGACATCTTTCCAAATGGTTTGGATCCCAGTGGGACCATGATTTGTAGCTGAGAGTAATTTTTATCAGATTGAGTCTGCCATAGTCCCATTTCCCCGTTGTGCAGGAGCTCTGGGTGCTGTTACTCACCTCTGTAGTGTTTCAGCCTCACTTGGAGGAAGCGAGAGCTCACCAGTCACGGCGTGTGTGCATGTCCTCAGCTGGAGTGACTGCTGAACCGTGCTTAACTGGGCAGCTCAGGAGTCACTCCACGCCGGGAAGCAGTGCCACAGAGAGACCCTGGCAGGCCTGCTGTGGAGAGCCCTGTTACCAGTCATCAGCAAATTCCCTTGGCAACCCCCTGTGGAGCCAGACCTAGTAAATCCCATTGCTCTTTGATTCCCTTGTTAGTTTGGCACCTCTATTTGCTTCCCAGTGGCTTTTCTGTTTGGGTTTGGTTTTTTTTTTCCTGGACATCTTCGTCCATCATGAATTGTCACAGTAAGTCAGTGTTTGACTTTCAGTGAGCTCTCACTGTATCCCAATAGCTGATTCTAAGATGGAAGTGTGTAACAAGCAAAGTTCCTGCAAAATGTTTTACTTCCTGATTATTATTTTGTAATGTAACAGATTTTGGCAACTGTTACTTTGAAAACTAATATTTGGGAAGTACAATGCTGTATAAGAAATTTGTTCCCCAGTGTCAACTCCTGCTGTCAGTCAGCTGAGAACAAACTTCTCTCATGGTAGTTAGTCACAAATCTGAGTTTTGCTCTACCTCATTGGTATTACTTCTGACACCAGATTTGCTACTGAAATAGGGGAGACAAACTGTTCTCATTGACACCAGCTGGGGCACGCAGTTTGGGTTTAAAGCTGAATTCATGGAGAGCTCCAGCTCATGTGGCAGAAGCCCAAGAGGTGATGCTGGCACAAGTCTGTCAGAGGTACAGGTGTTAGCTGTTTCAGGGACGTGTGGAAAAAAGAACTGGAAAGAAGGAGCAGAAGAGCACCTGCATCTCTGCTTCTCCTCTCTGGTCACCCTCACATTTGACACCTAAATCCTTTTCTGCTTTGAAGCTGCTCCAATTAGGAATCTGAAGTGTTTGGCATCTACTTGTTCAAATACATAAAGTGGCTCTGGTTTTACCGGTTTACTTTGCAAAGGCTACAAACACAAGTCTGCTGTGTGGCATGTGCTGAAACTGCCAACAGGTGTGTGTGGGTACAACAGCTGAAGAGGTTCAGAATCATAAATCTCAAACAAAACCTCTCTTTTAAATACCTCTTTGGCATATCCTACTCCTGGCATTAGCATCGCTGACTCATGATGCTGTTTGGCCATCCTGGAGGCATTTTTGGGGCTGTCTCTGCTTTGCTCCTTGCTGAAGTCAGAGGAGTTTGTTTGTTGGATATGCTGCAGGGTTTGGCCAGGTTTCCCCAGGTTTTGGTGAAAGCTGAGCAAAACCTCTGTTGTCTGGATGGAATGGTATGTGATTGCAGCCAGGTGAAACTGGAGAAATGGTGATGGAGACTTCAGGTGGTTGATAGCCTCACTCCTGTAGGGCCTGCACTTTCTACCATCTTCCAGTTACAGTCTTTACCATTAATTCTAATCTCTTAAACTTAGGATCTTGCTACTCAATAGCAACTTGAAGCCAGAAATGTGTTTTAAACAACTATTTGCTTAAAAAATGTATGTTACGACCAATAGAGCCTTGGTTTTGATGGCATCTTCCCTTGTAGCTTATCCAGTGTCTTATACAGGTTTGTGTCTTGCTCAGTAGGAGCTTTATAGGGTACCTTCCTTCTTTCTAGATGCAAAGATTGATATATTTAAGACAATTTCCCCCCATTAAATTCAGCTGTGATTGGTGGTGAGGTGTGCCAGAGCACTGCCTGATGCACAGCTGCATTTGCTTTATTATCAGGGAAAAAGCTGGAAAACTGAATTATTCAAAACCATTAACAACTGTGTGCAAAACCCCAGTTAGTTCTGAGCCCATTCAAAAGGCAACTCCCCCCACACCCATTTAGAGCAAATCTCAGAGCACTTTAGTGGTGTTTAATGTTCAGGTAACTCTAATTAAGCCTTTAATCCATTAGGCCACAGGGATTCATTTGGGACTTGGCTGTTAGTGCGGGTGTTTCAGCCTGCAGGTCACCCAGCCCAGGAGGACTCAATGATGCATTTGGAGGTCTGTCCCTGTGACAAAGAAAACAAAGTGTTTTCTCTGCAATTAAATGTTTAATTTTGCTGGTTTTGTTTTGTTTTTTTTTCCTGGAGAGAAACAACTCAGGGCAGGACTATGGCCAAGGCTTCTGGTCAAAGACCAGCTCAGTATTTGGTTCTCTTGTGGTTCAGCTCTGCCTGTTGATAGCCCTGGCACAAAATTCCAGCCTTAAACCAGATCTTGTGCCTTAGAGGGTTCAAGGATTCTTCCCTTCTGAGTGCTGCCTGTGAGTGCAGTGATGTGAGAAGTGTGTGCTCCCATTGCGTCACACAGAGCCAGCCACAACATACCAAAGTCAGCTATTTTGCATCTTTTCCAACTTTCTTTTCTGTTCTGGCCCATGTGAGAATGCTGTCACTTTTGGAAGTTGCCTCTGGTGGAAGTACAAAGGTAATAACTGTTTCAGATACAGAGCTTGAATATCTTTTGAAATCCAACCAGCAAAGCAGAAACACATGAATCAAGTTTAGCTCTTCAGGGCTGCCGTTTCCCGTTTGAAGCCTTCCTTATCTCCTAAGCGCAGCTTTTATTTAAACATGAGCTATAGATACCAGTTAATAATAACGCTACATGAACCCCCAAAACTGGGCTCCTGGAAGGGCTGGAGGCTGTGAGGACTGGTAGCAAGCCTTGTTCTCACCCTGTGGAGCTCAGGGCACAGGGTGCGCCTATCCTCTTAGTGCATATGCCGTGTGCCGGCGTGAGCATGGCCAGAGCGGGACGGCGTGACTTGCTCAGAGGCACAAAGTGATGGAGAGTGGAAGTGAAGTCCTGTCTCCCATCATTTTCCTTCTGGGCTCTCCTGGCTTTGCTCTGCCGTTAGAGGTTGCCGCCAGCAAACGGCTCTGCCTGCAGCGGGACACGCTGCCCTGGCGTCACAGGGCTGGGAGTTCTGATTTTGCTGAACAAAGATGCTCTTCCAAAAATAGGTTAAGCCAAAGAACTTAGATGCCAAAAATAGCGCTAGAAATTTTTTTCCTTTTTCTGACTGTCCTTTTTTTGACTGTGTTTTAGATTTATTGTTCCCTGC